TTCTTAAATAAAAAAAAAAGAAATATAGCCAATACTGGTCAAGAAAAGGAGGTTCTATTATTGCCATCAGTGCAAATTACAAATCCCGAAAATCTTGGGATTCTTGGAAAATAAAAATGGCCGGGATCCAAGGATCCTGGGATTAACATCCCTAATCTCCATACCATGTTTGAGTACTCTACCATGCAGAGATATGCAGTCTGAAAAATTCGGTTTGCATGAGAGGTGCCGCGCCCCTTTTTCCAGTAGCCACAATTTTTCTTCATGACTATCCGATTGATTTTATATCACAGCGCACGGCAGTGCGCGCGAGTGACGAAAGCAGCCACAGTAGCTTGCTGAAATGACTCGCTTATATATACTAGAGATTTGGAAGTTTTTATCCAGACGTCCAATCGACATGTTTGAGATATCGTTGGAAAGGTCTTGCAGAGTGTCCTCAGAAAATGTATTCAAGCTTCATAAACGACTCACCGGATTCTTAAAAATTAGGCTAAAATGTTGCGAAACAAAAAACGTTTTTTTGCTTTTGCCGGTTTAAGGGGGCATGTGGGTACACCCAACATATTTTGTGTTATTTTATAGGCCAATACCTTTCAAACGATACCTTATATATTGAGTTCCGGCTACCAGTTGGAAAGATATAGAGCTAAATGTGTTTTGGTTCGTGTCTCCACTGCGAGATGCTTTGGTATGTATGTGGCGTCCGTACGTACCATCATTTAATTTTTTTTTCAAACTTTCAGGAATTAAAGTACAAAAAGAAACTAAGAAGGGTTTTTTCCAGCATATTTCGATTCGTATGCCTTTGTGGGCGTGACTGGTGCCTGAAATTCGAAAAAAGGCAATTTTTTTAACTACCACTGAGGCCGCACTACTCAGTCCATGTCATTGATGTGGATATCAGTAGAAGGGTCTTCAAAAGAGCTATCTAACGCTATCTTTTGTGTTTATCAAATATAAATATGTCATAACGTTATCGCCTGAAAACTAAAAATCGGGCTGCTGAAAATATACATTTCGGACATTTTCTCAAAAACTGGTCAGTCGATTTCATTCTAAGTTTCCACAAGTCTAGCCCAAAACTTTAGCTTTCATCTGGTATATAGCTTATGTCTGGAAAAGCGCTTGTTGTGGAGATATTGCTATTCAAATTGAAAAAATGTCGCTCCAAAAAGGGTCAAATGGTTAAAAATTAACATATCCGTCTAATTTCGTTACTTTAAGATATAAAAATAACATACCCAGTTCCCCGAAAAACATCGCCCATTCCCCGATTGCCACTTAAACCGAAATTCCCTGCAAATCGGGGAATTTCCCGCGAGTTGACAAGTTGAAGGATGCAGCTGTGCTAATCACTTCGTACATGTCTTGGAAACCACAATCTATGTATATTTGAGAGTGTTTTTCAGTCACATGCCGAAATTGTAACATTTTTCCCCATTTTAATTGCAGGTATGTACACAGTATTTAACTATGCTACATGGGTTTATCACTCGCACTTAACCAACCTGTGAAAACGCGTATAATATTACCTACAGTTGTACATAAATATGTATGTATAAATGCATTTAGTTCACCCAATGTGCCGCTACTACTTACACACATATGTATATATTGCTACTGAGCAAAACTACTTGAGAAAAAATTATTAGTTTAATAGCACGAATGCAACACACACCGTACACGTGTTAGAAGTAAAACTTCTCAAAAAAGCACATGTGTGCGCCCCACACCCGGTAGAAATCTTAACAAAAATAAACTACGAGACTATCAGACGAATACAGTTGTTTATTGTATCCAAAGATGGTACCAAGTTGATAAGTTTTTATCATTTCTCATATTTTTTTTATTTTTAATTTTTTTCGAATACATATCATCCTTCATATCATCCTTTATCATCCTTTTTCGCTTTATTCCGTATTCGAAAAACTATGTGTTTCAATGGACACATCGATTTGAATACATAATTTAGATTTAGAGAATATGTTTAGCAATTTACTTAAGAAAAATAAAACATTTAGTTTATTGTTTATATTTTCGTCGATTTTAAATTTGCTACCCCAAAATAATTGATATCAAATAAAACACCTCTTTGAGGTAAAATTTTCCAGTGACGAAAGCTGAACTAGAAACACAAAATTTATGATATCAATTTCGTGACGAAAATTATACGCAATTTTTAACTGCCTTTCAAACGTACGGATACGGGGGGGGATGCTTGGACTCGTCCATTATCTACATTTTTACCAGTTTTTGCTTTTTATTTTGTTATCCTAATGTTTATAGTTTTTGTTTTTATAAAAGTCTAGCACATTACCTAACCAGAACCACTTACATCTACATTTCGAACTTCTTACAAAAATTATAACAATTCAACAAAATTTAGCAATTACACCCAAATATTTTAAACTTTTTGTGCAAAATTTTTAGGTATGCAGTTTTGTAGTCCATTAAATTCAAGTATGTAAAAGTGAAAATTTCAAGACACTAGAAAATCGCGTTCATATTTAATATTTTTTTTTTGGCTGACGGTGATAAGCATTTTCTTCTATATAAAAGGCACTATCTTAAGATAAAACGTGAGTGAACTTAACCCCTACTTGGCTTCTTATATTTGTTAATAACTAATCTGTATATACGCACCACACTAAAAGCTCCTTTTCATATAAAAATTCGTACGTGTCCTACCCGTGACAAACGTTGTCCCACCAGTGGCAGAAGAAATTTCGGATTTCTTGTATAATAAAGCCATAATTTTTTTGTAGTTTTTGCTTTGTTTGTGTTCCTGCCCTGCAGTGAAACCCCAAACTAGTCAGGAAAAATACTAGTTTACAACTAGAATTTCCTGACAGAAACCGAACTAGTTCGAAAATGTCCAGACTTGTACCGAGTACAAAACGATTTATATATTCGTGTCCTGTTTTATTTGACTTCGACAGTTGAATACAATAGAGTACACAAAATATTATAACTTTTATTTGGCTTTATTGTAAACCGTTAAAGCGAGTACCATACTTGTTAAATAATGATTAATTTCATATTGATAATTTTCAATTATTTTAGAATTTTTTTTAATTAAACGGTTACTATAATTATTTATTTGATTAATTTCTTTTATCAACCAACAAGCCAAACTATAGACAAAAATTAAGAATATTTAATAATTGCTTGAATTATTTATTTATTTTATTCTTATCCAAATCTCAAATTTCAAACATTAACACAGCCACACAAAAAAAAAAGTATGCGGATCTGGTAACAAGACACACGTATTCCTATGGATTTTGGGGCGCTGAATTCAAAAATGTCAAAAATCACCCATCAGGTCATGGTTAAGATATAACCTCAAAAAATGACGAAAAATCGTGCACTGAGGCAAATAAATTTCAAAATAATGCCAGTGATACAAATTTTCACTTCAAAAACATTTTGACAACTGTGAAGGATCAACCGTTGCCTGACATCAACTTATTTGACATAACTCTACTCAACAGAACCTGACTTAACCTAACCTGAATGAACAGAAATTTATCGAACTACACGTAAAGCTCTGGAAGCATATTTTCCCAGTATCAGATGTGTGCTACATCGAATGGGTCAACTCGAGCTTAACCTACAAATAAATCTTACCTAACCTAACAAAACCTAACCTAACCTAACTTAACCTCAGGTACCACAATTAAACTAATTGTGTTGTCTCCTTGTGTTTGCGGTACTGTTTCATTCAGTTTCGGCTTATCTTCAAAGAGGTCTAACCTAACAAAACCTGACCAAACCTAACCTAACCTAGCTGAATGAAATTCAACCACACGTGTAGCTACGTAAGCGTACGGTTCTCAGTCTCAAATGTGTGCTATCTTTAATAAGTTAACTCGATCTTAACCTACAAATGAATCTAACTTAACAGAACCTAACGAAATTTTGCTTAACGCAGCGCAACTGAAGTCTAAAGTGTTCCCGTTGTAACACAATAAAATTCATTTCATTGTACTACAGGTGGTTAAAAATTTAAACACACATTACTCATTTGAAGAAACTTAGAACTACAAGTAGAATTGAACCCATTTCAATTAACCTGACAATGTTTGTATCAATCAAAATGTAGAACTGTAACTCAAACATGCAAATTAATAAGAATTTTATTCGAAATTTTTATCTCTCTGCTTTTCTAAAACTTAAGGGATATATTTCTCCTCCCTTCCGTGTTTACATTTTATCTTGCTTTTTATCGTGATTAAATTGATTTACAGACCTACTTCAGTCTATTTTCTGCCTGCTATAACGTGTCCTTTTTTCTTCGAAGGAACGATGCAAAGGGTTACGCTTACGTTTAAGACCTACATTCGTTTCCCTTTTCAACATCCAGCAAAAATCAGCCATCATGACCTCGTCCCATCTACCCTGATATCGTTGTTCCATCACTTTTATGTCTTGATGAAAACGTTCCCCTGAAATCTCCAATATTTTCTGGAAACTTATCCAGATGGGAATCTAGAAAGTGAAGTTTTAAATTCATCAAGCAGCCTAACTTTTTGTAGTTTTTTATCATTTTCGCAACAATATTCTCGTAGTCTAGACTTTTTTTGTTACCGAGGAAATTTGCGTTTACTTCTTTAAAACTTTCCCAAGCGTCCATTTCAATTGTCGTCATGTGCTTCACGAAATTCGTATCTCTAGTCAACATTCGAATTTGTGGTCCATCAAAGACTCCTTCTTTTAATTTGGCGTCTGAAACATTCTTCATCTTTGTACACATTTTCCTTCAAGTGGTTCATTAGTCCGTTAACGTCAGTGCAGTACACTAAAGACGTCTCTTTGTCTTTAACGAAAAACTTTCTGAATTCTTTGTCCCTGTCGCGATAGAATGAAACTTTTGTCTTTGGCTGTAGAAGATTTCTTCTTTTTAGAAATGAAGCGGCGAATTCAGCGCCGTCTTTCGGTAATCCAAGGTCTCTAATAAAATCATTCAGTTCTAGTTGCGACACTAATATTGGAACCTTCGATTGCATCTTATCCACGCCATACTCGTCATCTTTTTCGTCGTTTTTATCGGATTCATCAGAACTATTTCCTGATTCATCACTGGTTTCACTACCGTCTTCATGACGTTGACTTTCAACTTCCATTCTATCATCTTCTAAAGCGCTTGAATCAGTCTGACGTGCATTTTTATCGATTTCAATTGCTCTTGTGACTGTGCACACATTAATGTACGAAATTTTCTTTTTATTTTTGGCGTTGAACCCTTTGACGGAATTCATGCAAAAGCAGCAGTCCTTCGCAATAACGGGTCTTTTCCATGTGGTTGGTGTA